TACTACCCGCTCCCCCCCTAAACAGGCTCTAAAAATATTCTAGGTCATAAGACAGGCCAACAGGGAAGCAGCTAAGTGGTGCAGTGGATAGAGTACTGGCCCAGAAGTCAGGAGGACCCGAGTTCAAATCTGGCCTCAGACCGAACACTTTGACACTTACTAGCTGTGTGACCTTGGGCAAGTCCGGCTGCCTAAAAACAACAACAAAAAGACAGGCTAACAAAGCTACCAGTCCTAGATGATCCATCGTTCCTAGGTCTGGAAATTCTTCCCAGTAAGTTGCTCCTTGGCTCCCAGAAACTAACTGTCCTCCCACAGTGAGGTCTCAAGCTCCCACGTTCATCCCTTCATTTCCCCGTACAGGGGCCTGGCCCCAATCCACTGAACTTAACCCATTAGAATTTCTCCTGAGGCCTTGCATTCCCTGTCCTTTTCCTCCTTTCATCTCCGTTTTGTCAGCCTACAGGCCCTTCCATGAACAGGCCAATCACACTGCCATCATGTTGTAGCCACAAGTCCCTTATTTGTCCCTGGCTCTTAGGTAAGAACCCAGAGAAGATACTGCCTGTTGGCAGGGGTTGTAACGTCCACCGTATCTGTGCCATCCCTCCCTGTGCTCTGCTGAAAATCTGAGGCCCCTGACCTGGCTGGTACCACTCCCAGAGCATTGCAGGGGGAGAAGAGAATGCTATCTTCTTTCTAGCCCCTGGGCCACAGTTGTAGGGAATAATAAAGCTGGCTGGGGAGCTCTCCAGGCACAGCCTCCATTTAATCTCATCCAGGACTCGGAGCCCCCAGAGTAGCCACCTCTACATACCTTGTCACCAGTCTGCGTGGTCATCACGTTCCATACATTACAGTGCCAAACATGCTGAAAATAAAGACCCGTGGAGGGGAAGGAGAATGCAAAGAACCCTGTCTCTACTCCATGGAAATGGCAGTCTGGGAGCCTGGTCAGCTTCGTGCCAACCCACAGCAGAAATGGCTCCATTTGTTCTGCTAATACCATTTATCTCCCATATTAGAATGGGAGCTGTCCAACGTCAGAGACCATGTTCTCCAATGTGAATAGGGATGGATGGGCACATTGTGGACACTCGGTAGGTAAATGCTGGAGTGGCTTCAGACTAGAAGCTATATCTCAGGGGTCCCAAGGAAGGGCAACCACCCACAGAAAACAGTACACCTGGTTTCTATTCTGAAAACTCGCAAGGCAACAGCACACACATCCACATATCGTGCTTCCATTAGGGATGCCGAATGCCATACTGGATAGAGCAGGCAAGTTGTCCACCACCTCACCCCTACCCCACCCTCTCAGCCCCTGCCGGCCAACTACCTGGAAGGATTCAATGAGATCCTTACCCTGGTTCCCTGCATGCATGAGAGAAACTACCAACCACGAACTGCCATTCAGACTAGACAGATTTCCACTCTTGAAAGGCCTGGAGGCTCTGGCATGACCTGCCAGTGAAAAAGAATGGGGCGAAGGGATACGTGTGTTCTCCAACTCCCCGTCCCACCATCTCGGCACTTCATCCATTTTTTTTCCTTTGCCCTCAAATGGCAAATGAGAATACACTGGGATGAGTGAAACTGCCATTAAGAAAACAGAGTGAGTGTTCTGGTGATATTCTTAAAAGTATTTCCACTTTTCCATCTCTGGGAATGTCTCAGCCCAAATTAAATCAAACGTGAATGTGTTTATTCTTGTTCCACAGCCCCAGGTCCCCCAAACTTTGGGCACTGAAAACAAGCTAAGTGGCCTTCAGTTTGGGCAGAGGCCCAGAGTTAGAACATGGAGAAGAGCTGGGGGGAAGAAGAGGAAAAGCCGAAGGCAGAAACTCCCCAAATACCTCTCCATCGCTGGGTTGCCCTAGATTCCATTTGTTAACTCTCATTCAAGAACAGGAGCTCTCTCTCCAAGGTCATGTACCATGTTCTCCAATATCTCACACAATACACTGAAGAAAGCTGGAGGGGCAGGCCCATGGTGGGCACTCAGTAAATACTGGACTGGCTTGACACAAAGACAAAGTCCTGAAGGGGAAGAAGTCAAACAGCAATCATTAAGTGCCTCCTATATGCCAGGGAATATATGCTGGGAATACAAAGAAATAGTCCCTGCTCTCAAGAAACTCATACTCTAATGCAATATGAAAATGAATATGTGCAAATAAGATATATTCAGAATAAACTGGGAGGCAGTGTCAGAGGGAAGCGCTAGTAATAAGAGGAACCGAAAACGCTTCTTGCAGAAGGTGAGATGTGAGCTGAGACCTAAAGGTAGTCAGGAGAAGAAGATTAGGAATGAGGACAATGAACACAGCAGAAAAGCAAAGGGTGTCTGAGGAATCTGCCAACAGGACAGGTGAGGTGATGACAGTGTCACTCTCGCCTTGGAGCCAGCTCTGGCACCGCCATCAGTACGTGGGGGGGCAGGAAGAACAAAACCCAGGGCCCTGTTCCTTCCTGCCTTTTCCAGCGGTGCCTCTGAAAGGCCATAAATATCTATTGCTCTTCCTAGAGAAGAAAGAGAGCTGAAAGGTAAAAACTAGAGAGAAATTAGACCGGAACTGAAAGAAATGAGACCCTAGATGAGTACGTCTGATCACAGGACAGGACCTATCCTTTCTGACCTCAAGAGTCCAAGGTGGGTGGGATGTTGCTGGGAGCAGTAATGGAGCCCAGGAAATGGCACCACTCCAACCTTGCCCTCCCTCTGCCCACAGCTCCCCATCTATGTCCCTGGGGGCTCCTCTGACCTTCATCTTTCAGTTTTCTTCCTTGACGTCTCCATGCGGCAACTCTGATAGGTAGAGGTGGAGGGTCCAGGCAACAGTTATACCTCTGTTGTACTGGGTGCTGAACTACCCCCAACCTTCTCACGCCCTGGTTGGTACAGGCTAGAAAGGGCTGAGATCATGGGGAGAGAAATAATGAAATGGGGAGATCCTCACAGACAAAGTCCCCAAGCTCCCAGCCAGCTGCCATGAATTCCCATTTCTGCTCTGGGCAGGATAAGAAAAGCAAGTATGAAACTGTCACCTCAGGGCCATAATTCTGCCCTACCCACTCAAGGAAAGGTGGGGAGACTAGAAAATCTCATCCAAAGTGCTTTTCAAACTTTGCCTTTTCCAAGGAATAATCTGGAGCCTTTTAGGAAGGGTCAGGCAGAGTGACCTGGAGGAAAGCAGCAATCAGGCTACCCATCTGAGCATCCATATCCCACAACCCTCTCCACTCGGCCTCAACTTTAATCCCTGGGCCTGAGGAGCCAGTCTCTGTCCAGATTTAAGCTTTCTTGTGTTTTCTTCTCTGGAAAGGAAGGGAGGGAGCTAGCCCAGTCCGGCTGGTGCATTGGGAAAGGTAGAAAAACAAACATACAGGAATCCAAATCTGGAAACCCCAAAGCCAGAGTTGCCATAGCAACATGGATACAGCAGGCTCACAGCTGCCGTGCACAGTCTCTCCTCTGCACCTTGCTAGGCAGGGAGGGGGAGGTAATTGGGACTACCAGGCAGTCCACACAAGAGCCCTGGGCCTTCACCTCTCCCTGACCTCACATATGACCTCTTCTGGCTGGTCATCCAAAGTCCCAGGCCAGCCTGGTTGGGGGAGAGAGAAAATCTGATGGGTGGCAGCACACAGAAATGATATCTGCTGAAGTCAGAAAGAAAGGTGCTAGTTCTCAGAAAGCCTAAGATCCAGCTCTCCCCTCCAGCCCCATCCCTGGCCAGCATACCCGAGACATCACTCATTTCTGACGTCACTGGTCGTCTTCAGAAACGGAGGACCACCAGTAACAACCGCCACCACTACCACCAAGCAAAAATACTGCCCCTAAGACCCTCCGCGCTAAAGGAAGGTGTATCCGTCACGTCTGATGCCCCCTGCACTCGTGGCCTCGTCTCACATCTAGAACTTCACGATCGAAACCTCACCTCTGAAGTTTCCTCATCTGTAAAATGGGGATCACAATCCTTACCCTGAGTTCCTCAGGAGGACCAAATGTGGTAGCCACAAAAGCTCACATTACTACGCTAAATTATACTGAATCTAAGGTTTACAAAACACCTTGTCCACATTGACCAACTTCAGAAAAAGACAGCACAAGTCTAATCCAAACCACGTCCAAGTCACTCTGAACTCTTAAGACCACAGAATCTCTGAACCCGGTCTTCTCATCTGTAAAATGGTGATAATAAAACTGGCAAGTATATGTCCTATAGGATTACTGTCAAGAAAGATCTTTGTAAAGCTTAAAAGTGTCATAGAAATATAAGTGCTGAAAAATGCACAGAACTGAAACCCGAGGCCTAGAAAGAGTTTGGATTCGGGTCATCCGTGGGGCAAGGGGTCGGGGACAGATGCCGTATCCTACTGGTTAGCAGGCAGGACTGTAGTCTGGGGTGCTGGGAGGAGATTCCCGCATGCAAACTAGCCCACAGGGAAGTGAATCTCCTGACCTGGCCAAGCACGCAATACCATGTGCAAACCAATGTCCAGAAGGCCAGATAAGAGTCACTGTCCTCAATACTGGCGCCTCAGGTTCACTGACTTGGAATATCTGCTTGTTGAACCTAAGAGATATTCGCCTTTTAGGTGTCCTGGAACCTTGGACAGTCTGATGAAGTACATGGATACCTTCTCAAAATAATGTTTCTAAATGTGTAAAATAATTACAAAGGAAATCAATTATATCAAAATACAGTCATCTAAACATTTTTCCCTTTCAACTTCACAGACCGCCTTAAAATCTGTCCACAAACCCCTGAAGGAATCCCAACTTCAGAACTTCTGACTTACCCTAATTTAGCAGCACTGTAAATAAGGCCCCATTGCTCAGTTTTTTCTACTATTCATCCCAACCCTGCTACTTGGCTCCTGACCAGTTCTGAGAATTTCTATCCTGCACACTCTAGTGCAGATGTACCTCTACCACATAACGCTCTGCAGATCAGGCCTGTCAAGAAGATGAAAAGGACACACAAACAGCAAACTCTCAACACCTCCATTTAATGACCAATACAGGGTCAGCAGGGCACGTCAATGTCAGTGTGGGAAGTCTTCCCTCAATCCACAAGAGTTCCTTTGAATGCCGTGCCTCCCTCTCTGTCCACCAGTAGCCCGAGGGGTGACGTCATCGAAGCTCCTGGATGAAGCCATTGATGGTGCCCAGCATCTCCTGGAAGTAGCCATTCTCTTCCCCATCCTGCTGTTCCAGAGCAGCCAGCTCCTGGTACTCGTCCCGTAAACCTTGGAGGGTGCTGCTGAGTAGGATATCTTGGCGGTAGCGGTCCCGACAAGGGGTGAGGAGGGCACTCAGGGTCCGCAGCACTTTCTCCCGCATGTCATGCTCTGGCAGCCCCAGCAGACCCGAAACAATGCCACACCAGCCCTGCTCCTGCAGTCCTGGCATGAGCTCCACCTGGCGGTACTGCTGCACCTTCTCCTCTGGGGGATCCTGGCCACGCTCAGCGGTCTCTACCAACATCTGCAAAAGACAGGGAGGAGGAAAAGCAGAAAGGACACAGAGTCAGTACCAAGTCACCAGATATCCAGCTAGCCAAGGCATCAAAATCAAGGTGAGATACGGAGGAAATTTACATTTATAAGGCCAAGAGGGTAAAAAACTGAAAAAACAAACAAAAAAACTCCACTCATAAGCAAGACAGAATTGATTGTGAATCTGAATACTGTCAATTTTAAAATAATTTGCTGTTCTTCACATACAAAGATGTGCCACTGACTCCCATCTACCCTAAGTGATTTGTGCAAGAATGAAGACTAGTTTACATTGATGTACTCACATGGGCACATACTCATGTGTGAGCCAGCTAGCTGGGCCACAGAGAGAGTGAGCTCGGGCAGCAGGAGCAGAATGACTTCTGAATCCCTCGCCTGCCCTACGCTGCACAGGTCCATCCCATTCTCCCTGCCCTCTGCCCCCAGCCCTGGGTGAGAGAGCTCCAGATAAGGGGGTAGGAGGTGACTGACCTTGCTCTTCATGGCCAGAGGATTCTGACAATTGTCAGCTCAATGTAAGAGCCAGAAAAGGAGGCTGAGGAGGGGAGGGGTGTGGGAAGGGGGGGGGGCTGCCTTCAATAACCAATCCCTGGGCCCAGAGGGCCACCTCCTGTGATACTGACTATGTACACACTTTATTAATTAGATTTGAACACCACATGTCTTTTTGCTATTATGGAAGATTATAGCGTCTCCAGTTTCAGTTAAGAGCAATGCTACTAGGCAAGGGGCAAAGTAGGGAAGAGGACAAGGAAAGCCCAGAGGTACTTGTCCTCACTGACTGGGGAAAAGGAGGAGGAATGTGGCCTCTTGGCTGATTCAGTCGCACTCTTTTCTTATCTCCTGCTTGAGAACTACAGGGCCTGACTTACTCAAACACCCAGAAGAAAAGAGGGCCCTCACTGGGAAAGCCCCTGAGAGAACCACGTCCATTCTGTGGACAGCTTGAGTTCTGATCCACTGGCCCACTTCACTCTGTCATTTCTTACTATGTTTCTCAGACTTTAAAATGACAAATTAAGAATCACACCCAAGGCCTGGTTCTCCCCCCCCCCCCTTGATTAGCACTTCTGACTCTATAACTTACTCAGATACATCACAGGCTCAGCAAGTCAGAGATCTGGAACTGGATAGACCTTAGAAGCCAACAAGTCTCAGCAGAGGAGTGCAATGACATGCCCAGTGTCAGAGAGCTGGTGAGAATCCCACCCCTCTGGGGCCCTGGAGCTCCAGCACACAGACGGATTGCACGCTCAAATTCCCCCAGCCCCTGACAGAGCCCACATGAGCGCTCTCTGCGGGAGGAAACCGTGATATTCCTCAAACATGTTCTAATAGCCTTCAGTCTTTCACAAACCCCTCCTAAATATCCTCCTCAGGCCTCAGTGGGGCAGCATGGAGCACTGATAAGGTCCCTCCTATAGGGGAAATATAGAGACCAAAGAAGGAAAGTGAGGGGTGGGAATATTGGGGTCAGGGAGGGGTGGCTCAGAGTCCAAGGTCAGAGGAAGAAGGAATCCCGGTGGCTCTATTCCTGAAGTGGCCAGTAGAGGAACCCAGCAGAGAAGGCCCCATCTCACCCCTGAGGCTCATCAGTCTGCACATCTATTACCAAGGATGGCCCTAGCACCACAAACACGTAGGGTGGCGGATGTGGCGCCTGCCTCCCCAGCAAGCACTGATTCACCTATTTCAGACAAAGGACCACATACAGTTCCCAGGACTAGAAAAACAGACTGACCCCCCCAAAAGTTGACTCCTCCTAATTTTCCAGCAACTCATTTAATGACAGTTATAAGAAAATTCTTGCCTTGGAATATGCTTAAACTCTCTGGCAGCTACGGCCGTCTGGATGGGCCCCTGAAGCCTTGCCACTGAGCAGCTCCTGACATGGAGGAGGGTCCCTGTCTCCTCAAGGAACCTCCAAATGGACCCTGTAAAACCAACCAGTCACTTCCCCAGGTGTCCTCACCATCTCTCTCATAGAGCCCTTTCACACAAAAGCAAGAGAGGATAGACTGGCATTAAGCATCATATCACAGGCCCTTAGAGATCATCTAATCCCAACTCTTCATTGCACAAATAAGGAGGCAGAGGAGACAATGCAGGACACCATGTGCCAGGCCTGGAGTCAAAAAGAACTGAGCTCAGATGTGACCTTAGATACTTAACTGTGTGACCCTAGGTAAGTGACATAACCCCTGTCTGCCTCAGTTCTTCACCTGTAAAATGAGATAACAGCACCTCTCTCAGTGGTGTTGTGAGAATCAAACAAGAGAATCTGCATAAGGCACTTTGCACACCATAAAGTACCATATAAATGTGCACTGTTATAAGGAAACTGAGGCCCAGAGACAGGAGGTCACCTGCCCGAGACCCCATATCCTGGGACTCCCCTATCTCATGCTGCCTCAGTACCAAGTGGAAGGAGATCCAAGCTGGGGAAGAGGAGGGTCTGGGGACAACACTCACCTTCTCTGTGACCAGGTCATAGAGCAGGGTGACCACACGCACAGCCAGCATCTCCATGCCTTTCTCATGGACCAAGCTCCTCAGGACCTGCAAGCCTCCCAGCTTCAGGAACTGCTGCTGGGCATAGGGAAAGTGCCGAAGGAGCGAGGACAGAGCAAACAGCACCTGCGGGGCAGGGGGCAGGGTGAGGCTGGGGGGTGCAATGCCAGGGCTCCAGGGCTGGTGGGGGAGTGACGACAGATCTCCTGACTGTGAGATCCTGCTGGGAAGAACCACCCCAGCTCCTCAACGGGCCCAGAGCAGCACCCTCTGAGCATACACCGAAAATCAGAGCAGGCCCAGACCCCCCAGCCCAATACCCCCAGCCCCACATCCTAAGCACATGTTGCTTATGCCAGCTGCCAGACCTTCCCCTCCTCACCAGTGAGGACACTGAGGACAAAGCCAGAAGGAGATACGGAGGAGGTACCTTTTTCTTCACAGTCACAGGATGGTCAGTTGCCAAGATGACCAGCAGCTTCTGGAGGGCACCACCTTCTACGGCCTCGACCTGGACCTTCGGGTTACTGTAAGTAGAGAACAGAGGAGAGGATGACCTCTCCCCTTCTTCACGTGTTCCCAGAGCAGCCCTCCCATCCAACTGGCTGTCAAGTAAACAAGGATCTAGTCAATTCGGCGACGAGTATTTAAGCCTCTAGTACATTCCAGGCACTGTTAGACCCAGGGACGCATAAAAGATTGACACAACCACTACTCACAAGGAGCAGACATTCTAATATAGACATGTATGTAGTTAAATTACACATGTAGACAACACAGCACAAACGTAGAACAAACACATACACATCCATACACGGCAGTTTGTGAAGGGAGGCCTTGGCTGTTCCTGCAGATGATGCAGGCCAGACTCTGTGAAGCAGATGTAAGGAAGGAGGGACTTGGGGCCACGTGGGAGGGATGGAGCGTGCAAAGCTTGGAGATGAGCGATGGACTGAGGAAGAGAGAGGCCGGTCAGGCTACTGTCGAGGCAGCCCCTAGATGCTTCATACTGTAACTTATGGGCCAAGGTCTGAAGAGACCAGGGCCCGGATGTGCTGGTGCCCACCAGGGGAGGCGGAAGGGAGGATGGGCCAAGCCACCCCGGCTTCCCTCTACTCCAATGAATCAAAAAGACCATGTGTTTAATCAAAGCAAGAGCTAATTGGGGCCCTCTTAGCCACCCTGGGCCTGAAAAATGCTCACCCGACACAAGTCAAGTCAGAAGGAGAGCAACCAGGCTGAGTGATTTACACAGGCATCAAACGCTATGTTCCAAGGAAGGGGCAAACCAGACCTTTGGAAATGCTACCAAGGAGCCTCATCATTTATTGTCCTTAGCAATAGAGAGGCAAAGAGAAGGCACTGTAAGAGACAGCACACACGGCTCTGTCCCAGCCTATAAATCTGCTAAGAATGAAACTCAGGGCAGAGGATAGGAGTTCTCAGAGAAGGGAAAATTGGTGTGGCATATCCTGAAAATGGGATTAGAGGACAGAAAGGGAGCTACTAGGGATTTTCTGCTTGGTGGGGATGGGGAAGGTTAGAAACCTAGCCCTTCGACTACAGTTTGGGGTCTCACTATCACACACACACGTATCCTTTTGGATCTCTGCTGTAAAATCAGTGATAAAAACGTTTTACATACCTCTCTCACAGGGTTCTTTTTGGGAATAAAAGGAAATAATATGGGAAAACATTTTGAAAATTATAAAATATCTCACAAATATCTACGGATCGGTCAGAGAATTATGGGAGGAAGATGGAGAAGGAATGGCACAAGACTTGTAATTTCTCTGGTCTGTGGAATGGTTGCTCACCTCTGTCCAGGCTGATTTCACAACCCTGAATGCCCCTCCCTGACACTTCCCCAAATCCTGTTTATCATGTAAGACCCAGTTTAAAAACCACCTCCTCTACAACGCTGGCCCTCTCCATCAAGAATGGCTGCTCCCTCTGGGTTCCCAGTGCACTTTGGTTTTACTTCTCCTCCAGCACACATCACACAGTCTTGTCACATAATTATTTATGTGTGTACAGGATCATAAAACGTTAGAACTTAAGAAATAGAATAACAACACCTTGCACTGTGCTTTAAGGCTCAAAACACACGTGTGAAATAGGGGTGCAAACAGAGTTTACTCATTTGTTGGAAAGCTCTGAGATAGGTAACTTGCCCCTCGGGAGTGGGTGAGCACTGACCTTCACAGGCCCCTCCACAGAGATCACCTGTTCCAGTGGAGGCCCAGCGTCACAGGACTAGGCCCCCAGTGTAAGTCTGACCAGGTCACTCTCCAGCTTCCCTTCACTAATACCAGGCATGGGGGTCAGCTTGCTGCTCCCTGTATATGGTGCTCCGTATCTCACGCAGGAATACGAGTGGATCCCAGAGGTGACAACAGGACTCCCCTCCCCGCCCCCATTCGTGACACCATCTCCTCTCTCTACACCACATTGCCACAGCCCAGTTCACAGATAAGCTGCAGCTGCCTTTGCCCAGGCCTGGAATGAAGACTGCCCTTCCTGGAATCACCACTGCTGTGCAGGCCCCAGCTCAGAGGTCACCTCTCCAACAAAGCCTTTCCTGACCCCCGCAGCTGTGATTCCCTTCCCTGTCTGTGTGCCCACGCACACTCACACATGGACAGGTACAGACATATATATACATATGGCAACGTCTTTAGATTAACTTACCTGAGTTCTTGTTTTTTCTGAAGAGAAGCTCCTCCAGGGCAGGGCTACCTTTATTTCTGTTTTGTAATCCCAGACCCTGTCACTCACCCAGACCCATGACAAGCACCACTGCCATCCAATGCTCACACCTACGCCTATGCTGCCAGGCCAGTCGGATCCTAACTTAAGACACACAAAAAGACTCTCTGTTCTTTTTAGGTCCAGAACTGGAAAAGACGTAATCTTCCAACCAAACTGCAGAGGAGAGGCAGGATGCAACTGCCCTCTAAAGAAAGAAGAGAAAAGGAGGGAGAGCAGTCCCGAGGCCAAGTGGCACATGAACTGATGTTGCCACCTACTTTCTTCTAACTATCTCAGAAGGGAGGACCTCTTGCCAAGACAGCACAGCTCACTGATCCCAAAGGCCTTAGTGAGGAGATCCCTGACCGGGCCAGGCCACATCTTCCCACCCTAGAACTCCCTTTCAAATCTGGATTCCTCAGTCCCAGACAGAACCAGCACAGAAGAAATTCAGAGGGGACAAACGTAATTAAGGAATTAGAGAAAGACTTAGGAAGATGGAGCAGCCAATTAGATGTGGCTAAAGGAAAGGGTGTGGTGGAAAAAAGGGGAGAGAAGAAAAAATATTATTTGGCTCTACAGTAATTCAAAGACTATGTTAAGAGTGATTTCCTCAGGTAATCTGAAGGGGAAAAAAATGGAAGTAAATAAATGGGAGTATGGGATTTTTACAATATTATCAAAATTATTAGAGCATACAGCAAGGGCTTTTTTAGTGACTTATCCTGCTTGGGCCAAAGGACCCAGAAAAACTAGTTGTCTGTTGTTGCTGGGATGGGGCACAGAGGTGACAGTGATGTGCTGGTTGCCTCCCAATAAGAAAAGGGATTCTGTGGCAGGAGCCGGCACAACTACTCCAAGGCACCAGTTGTGTTGAGCATCCTTCAAACCGGCCTTTTTTTGAGGCTGAGGAAAAACTGCCCCAACTTCCCCGGATCTTAGGTGGCATTTCCCAGCCCTCCGACTCCTGAGAGTCTGCGACACATGCTCAGTCCCTGAACAAGCAAAGCCAATGCAATTCAACAGTCTATTTAGTTCTTGACACACAACTGCAGAAATGTTTATGAATGAGGCATCTCTTCAACAGCAAACGGAAAAGCAACGATCGTGGGAAGGTCTAAGGCTGAAAATGACAACACTGAAATACTTAGTTTAAAGGACTTGGAAGTCATATAGACGACAGAATTTTTCTGCTGTAGAACACACATAATAAGTCCCCAAAATATCCTTTGTTTGCTTGGGTTTTGCTCAGACATTTAAGGATTTTGACAGTTTAAATATGGTGAACAATATGGTGAACCATCCAAATACTTCTATCGTTAGTATTTGCCATGATCTTTGTGAACAATTAGTTCTGAAAGGCAGGCGCTAACATTAAAGACGCCCCTTTTCCAATGGGGAAAGAGCAAAACAGTGGTTGGCTGGCTAATACGGTTATCACAGACTGTCTCATGTTGAAACCATAAATTTTTTCTGCTACCACACACTGCTTCTGGACACCACACCTACTAGACAAGTGGCTGAAATGGCCACGCAGATTTATCACCTCTGCTTGATTACAGGAATCTCTATTTGTACATGTTCCAAAGGGGGAAACTGAGGGGAGAAAATTTTTTTCCTTTCCTTCAGTATTGAAACATGAAGGCCAGATCTTGCTTTGTGCCCCTTGACCCACCACATAGGACAAGCTGGTTGAACAAGAGGAGTTAATGATTCACTGAGATCTCTAAGAACCACCACCTACCAAGATTTAACAAAGAACCTGGTATGAAGAGGCAGGCAGACAGATATCCTCTTTTCAGTTCTGAGACTGAGCAACATATACCAATTCAGTACATATGCCTCCATAGTCAGGTACTAGGCACTAAGGCTTAAAAACGGAGAAGGGGAAAAGTCTCTGTACTGAAGACTTGAAATATCTTGGGTTGCTAAAGGAACGCTTGTCCTTCTTAGAAAATGAGTACAAAGCAAACAGAGGACTCTGATGACTTGACTTGAAGGAAGAAATATTCAGCATGCTAGCTCATTTTGGCAGTAACCTTTTTCATGATGCAATTTTCTTTGCAAAAGTGGTTAGCCCGGGGAAAGTATTTATGAAGGAGTTTCAGTCTGATGGAAATAATGGGAATATAAAGGGAAAACGGAGATTATGTTTGGTCACTTCTAGTGACCATGACCTTCTTCAATCTCTTACAGTACTTATTTGGGGAATGCTAAAAATAATTCTCTATCAGTACAGATACCATTTCCATAAGCAGTGGAAGAATAAAATTTACAATAGTCACACACATTTAGTAAAAGTTAAGTAAAAGTTATAACCCAAGTGATAGACAGAATCAGTCAATAAGTATTTATTGAGCCCAGGATACAAAGAAAGGAAAAAAACACCACCACATTCTAGTGGGGAGACAAAATGCAAACAGCTACAGACATACAATACAGAGAATACCAATGGTATGGACGTAACCTCAGTGGGAGAACATTAGCAGTGGGGAGGACCAGGAAAGTCTTCTTGAAGAAGACGGCATCTAAGTGGAGCCTTGAAAGAAGCTAGAAGACTAGAGTTAAGGAGGGAGGGCACATTCTAGGCATGGAAAATGGCCAGTGAAAAGGTACTGAGGGATGTTTGAGATTGGGAGATTTCAGTGTCTGAGGAATACCAAGATATGGAGAGGGCAGCAAAATGTAAGAACAGGAAGGGGATAGTCTGTGAAGGCCTTTAAAAGTCAAACAGAGGATTTGATATTTGATCTTGAGGTAACAGGAAGCCACAGGA